CGCTTCACACAGCGCCAGGCCGCGCCCCGGGGCGCTCGGGCACGCCCCCCACGCTCACTGCAATTGGTCCTTGCAGAGAGCGAAGCCTACTGATTGGCCCAGGGGGGCGGAGCCTTCAGGCGCCAAAAAAGGACTGGGCGCTCAGCGTGATATAATGCTCCCAATCTAGATTTACGCCTGCGTAAAATTCTAAGTGGGAGGACCTTTAACCTTCCTGCTACAGGCTCCCGGGGAAGATTTGGAGGTGCCATCCCCGCAGAGGAATGCGCATGTGCTGACTCTCCCAATTACTTGAACTTGTTGGGTACGACTTAAAGGGACAGTGTCTCATAAAACTTCGTAGAAAGCTTCTCAGGGAAACAAGTAAACAAACATTTGCATTTACAAAACGCTTTACCATCCTTTATCTTTTCAACCCGAATAACAACCTTCTAAAGTAGAGAGCATGTAAAAGAAAAAAATAAAATAGAGAGTATAGTCACCATTTTACCGATAAGAAAATAGACATAAAGGTTGCTGCGAGCGCATCACCAAGGCCTTTTCCATTCCTCCCACGAAAAGCTTGGCAGCCTTACTGACCCTCCCTTCTTTCTCCAGGCGGTCAGAGCTCCATTCCCTCTTTGGAATAATAATAGTTCTTTTCATATTTCTAGTCCAAAAATTAAATAAAGAATGGATTCTAAGTCCCTTGAGGAGGGGTCTATTGTTTTTGCACAGCTGGTGAACAAAGAATGGTTTTTCCATGTTTAAATAGTTGGAAACTATGTAAAATTCACAGGCCAGTGTTCATAAATAGCTTTAGTGCAGCGGTTCTCAACCTGTGGGTCGCGACCCCTTTGGCAGGGGTCGCCTAAGACCATCCTGCATATCAGATATTTACATTATGATTCATAACAGCAAAATTACAGTTATGAAATAGCAATGAAAATAATTTTATGGTTGGGTCACAACATGAGGAACTGTATTTAAAGGGCCAGAGGCTGAGAACCACTGCTTTAGTGGGTCCTGGTCAGGTAGCTCAGTTGGTTAGAGCATCCTTCTGATAAGCCAAGATTCCAGGTTTGATCTCCTGTCAGGGTACATAGAAGCAGCAACCAATAGATGTATAAATAAGTGGAGCAACAAATTGATGTTTCTGCCCCTCTGTCTCTCTCAAGTCAAATACATTTAACATTTTTCTTTTAAAAAACGTTTTAGTGGAACACAGCCGTGCTCATTTGACTAAGTACTGTCTAAGGCTGCTTCCTTTCTTTTTTTTTTTTAAATAGATTTTATTGATTTTTTACAGAGAGGAAGGGAGAGAGATAGAGAGTTAGAAACATTGATAAGAGAGAAACATGGATCAGCCGCCTCCTGCACACTCCCCACTGGGGAAGTGCCCGCAACCCAGGTACATGCCCTTGACCGGAATCGAACCTGGGACCTTTCAGTCTGCAGGCCGACGCTCTATCCACTGAGCCAAACCGGTTTCGGCAAGGCTGCTTTCTTGCTCCACCAGCAGACTTGAGTGCCTGAGACGGAGGTCTGCAAAGCCTAAAGGATTAATTTTTGGCCTTTAGCAGAAAAAGTTTGCAGATTCCTGCTCTACAGGGTGGGTCAAGCAGCTTAGAGGTACCCAGAGGTCATTGTAATTCTACTTTAGCCTTGCTAGGGAGATGGACTTAACTGCAATCTAATGGCAAAAGCCAGCCTGAAGGAAGGGCAACTCCCGGGCCAAGGGGCAGAGACCTGGATGCCAGTCCGAGTTCTATGCGGCCTCAGGCAAGTCACTGCTCCTCCCAGAATCTGTGAGCTGGTTTTTTCCCCTGTAACCCAGGGTTGGGTGAGGAGGAGGGAGGACTCCGGGAAGGGATTGAGGACTAGCTCCAGGAGAACTTTGGGAGACACTGGGAAGGCCCCACTCAAGGAGGCAGGCTAGTAGGACGGCTACTTGGAAAGTGCTTACAGAATGATTCAATAGATCTGCCTGTCCCCCTGCTGTGTTCATCAAATGTTTATTAAATTGATAATAATAGAAATAATGCCTTAGCTGGTTTCACTCAGTGGATAGAGCGTCGGCCTACGGACTGAAGGGTCCCAGTTTCAATTCTGATCAAGGGCACATGCCCGGGTTTCAGGCTCAATCCCCAATAGGATGCTTGCAGGAGGCAGCCGATCGGTGATTCTCTTTCATCATTGATGTTTCTATCCCTCTTTCTCCCTCTTCCTTCTCCTCTGAAATCAATAAAAATATATTTTTAAAAATTAGACATTATGAGTTGAGCCTGTGTGATGTCCTGGGCTCTGGGGTTGTCACTGCACTTGCATTACCTCATCGGCTCTTCACCACTGCTCACAGAGACGCTATTAATATCCCGTCTTACAGGCGAGGAAAACAGACTGCGGGCCTAAGTGCCTGTGGAGCGGGTGGATGAGCAAGCCCCGCTTCTCCTCCCGAAGGCAGTGGGAATAGGAGCGCATATTCCGAGAAGAGCGGATGTTGTCCTTGTGTCCCGGCCAGCAGGGATGACCACTCCGTGCAGTGGGGATTGGGTGCCCCAAGTGCAAAGGTGGCGGACACAGGACCATGCCCAATATTTAGGCCCCGAATCTGGGGCAGCAGCTTCTCCAGGCGGCTTCTCTCTAGTGAAGCTGCACTCACATCTGTCTCTCATTGTCACTTGACTGGGAGCCACAGCTGTCTCTTAGAGGGGTGCCTGTGAGCTGTGAATCTATTCCTCATCTGATTCCCTCTATGGCAGTGGTTCCCAACAGGGGGGCAAACGCCCCACAGCGGGGGCGGGGGGAGGAGGCAATTTGATTTTTAAGGGGAGCAATTCGAGAACGCGTTATTAACAATGATTTTTTTTGCATTTCTCATGGTTCTAGGGGCCGCATATACAGTATGTAAATATATATTGTGACATATGTATGCATTTCAGTTCTCTGTTATATGTTTTGAAACTTTATTTGCTATTTTTCATATCACTTCATATTACTATTTTTTTAACAATTTCTTAGTGATTTCTTCCTCAGTACTTCAACTTCCTTTTCGTTCTTTTGTTTTTCTCTCTCATGGATGCCGTGTTCTTTGGAAGCTTGTTTAGACCAAGTGAATGGCCTTTTAGGCTTCCTCCACGTGAATAGGAGCTCACTTTTTGAATAACAGGAATTATATGTCACAGGGGGCGGGGCACCAGGACTTCAGAGATGCTTACTCGGGGCGTGGGAAGAAAAGGTTGGGGACCACTGCTCTGTGGCCAGGACAGTGCAGTGTCTGCACCACAGCGGAGCGGACAGGACTCAGAGGGGCACAAGGCCCTTCTTGCCGCCTCCCCAGACACAGCCTGTGAGCTCCCCAGAAATCCAGCTCCAAGACATAAAGATCCCACAGCTTGGTCTGGGCCTGGAGTAGGAGCTGAATGTGCGAATGACAAATACTCCCCAGGTAAAGGGTGTGATATTTTCTCAGGAGGGAAGGTGGCGTTGGGGCGCACATAGGGGTGTTTCTGGGATGCAGTTCCAGCCCCTGCATGAGGGAGCTTTTATTGGACAAATGGACCCGGAGAACTCAAGGGGTCTGAAGAAAGATGAGCCGACGTTTCTGCCAGAGAAAGAAAGGGGAGCGGGCCAGGCTCTGTGGGGCTCCTGGGGGACGCCCCTCATTAGACTGGGTGGGAACTCATCAGACAGGCCTCAGGGGCACCTGGGGAGGCTCTCCCTTCCCCAGGCAGGGCACACCCTGCAGGAGCCCCTCTGGGATTCCCTCAGTGAGAGGACGATGGGTGTGGAAGGGATCAGAGAAGATAGCTGGGGGCTGTGACTTTGGACTTGGTCCAGGGTGGAGGACCTTGAATTGGCATCTTGTTTAAAATACACATAACAAATTTTACCATCTTAACCATTTCTTATCTTGCCTGTAAATCCTTACCTGAGGACATTTCCCCATTGATTTCTAGAGAAAGTGGAAGGAAGGGGGAAAGACAGAGAGAGGGTTCGGTTATCTCCTGCATGCACCCCGACCAGGGCCGTGGATCAAGCCTGCAACGAGGTACATGCCCTTGACCCGAATCAAACCAAACCAGCAACGCTTCAGTCCTAGGGCTGATGCTCTAACCACTGAACAACCGGCTTCAGCATTAACCATTTCTAAGTGTATAATTCAGTAATGCTAAATGTATTCACATTGCGGTGCAACCAGTCTCCAGCACTTTTCCATCTTGCAAAACTGATTCTCTATATCCATTAAATAACAAAATGAATAAATGTTATGGGGTAAAATAAAGTGATATCTCAGTAAAGGTGATGCAAAAGATTTTCATCTGCACCTCCCAGGTGACATAGTGTCTGTTTTGAGACCCAGTTCAAATGCCACTTCTTGCAGGAAGTCTTATGTCTGTCCCCACCCTCAGTCCTCCGGTCCTCGGAGTGAGCGCCCCTCTGTACAAAGCCCCAATCCCCCACTGCCAGCCTGACACTGAGCCCAGGACATACCCTGCGGGAGCCTGGAGCTGGCACCCTCCTGGCTGAGGTTGGAGGCTACGGGGTCTTTTGATGATGGCCTGTGTGACCTTGGGCAAAGCCTTCCCCTCTCTGGGGTTGGGATCTACTTGGCTGTGGAAGGCTCCCTGGGCTCGTCCTCCCCTGTGCTTTCTCCTTCTTCTTTGTTGATTTTTAGAGAGAGAGAGAAACATGATTTGTTGTTTCACTTATTCATCCATTCATTGGTTGATTCTTTTACTTATTTACTTTTATTATTGACAGTATTAGAGATGTCCCCTCTTCCCCCCCAACTTTGCCGCCCTCCACCCATCCCCCACCCCTCCCAAGGCCTTCACCACACTTGTCTGTGTCCATGGGCTGTGCAAATATGCATATATGTTCTTTGGTTAATCTCCTCCTGTCCCCTCCGCCCACCTTCCCTCTGAGATCTGTCTGTCTGTCCCATACATCCATGTCTGGACCTATTTTGTTCATCAGTTTATTTTGATCATTAAGTGAGATCATGTGATTCTTGTCTTCCTCTGTCACGAAGGGTAAGGGACCATTCTCTTTAATAGCTGCATATATTCCATTGTGTAAATGAACCACAGCTTTAAATAACACTGCTATGAACATAGGGGTGCATATAGTCTTTCTGATTGGTGTTTTGGGATGCTTAGGATATATTCCCAGAAGTGGGACCGCTGGGTTAAATGGCAGTTCTTTTCTTAATTAAAAACAAAATATACATATTTTATTGATTTTTACAAAGAGGAAGGGAGAGGTATAGAGAGTTAGAAACATCGATGAGAGAGAAACATTGATCAGCTGCCTCCTGCACGCCCCCTACTGGGGACTGAGCCCACAACCAAGGTACATGCCCTTGCCCGGAATCGAACCTGGGACCTTTCAGTCCCTGCAGACCAACGCTCTATCCACTGAGCCAAACCGGTTTGGGCTCCATACTGTTTTTCACAGTGGCTGCACCAGTCTGCATCCCGACCAGCAGCGTACTAGGTTCCCTTTTTCTCACATCCTCACCAGCACTTGTTTGTTTATTTATTGATGATAGCCACTCTGGCAGGTATGCGGTAATACCTCATTGTTTTAATTTGCATCTCTCTGATGATTAATGACTGAACATTTTTTCATATGTCTCTTGGCCATCTGTATGTCCTATTTGGAGAAGTGTCTATTCAAGTCCTTTGCCCATTTATTAATTTATTTAAAAATATTTTTTTATTGATTTCAGAGAGGAAAGGAGAGAGAAAGAGAGAGAAACATCAATGATGAGAGAGAATCATTGATCAGCTGCCTCCTACACACAACCCAGGCATGTGCCCTTGACTGGAATTGAACCCAGGACCCTTCAGTCTGCAGTCCAATGCTCTATCCACTGAGCCAAACCAGCTAGAGCTTAAAAATATTTTTATTGTTTTCAGAGGGAAAGGAAGAGAGAGGGAGAGAGACATAGACACATCAGTGATAAGAGAGAATCAGTGATCAGCTGCTTCCTACACACACGAACACACTGGGGATAGACCCCACAACTCGGGCATGTGCCCTGACCGGGAATCAAACCGTCACCTCCTAGTTCAGTGAAGGCGAACCTTTTGAGCTCGGCGTGTCAGCATTTTGAAAAACCCTAACTTAACTCTGGTGCCGTGTCACACATAGAAATTTTTTGATATTTGCAACCATAGTAAAACAAAGACTTATGTTTTTGATATGTATTTTATATAGTTAAATGCCATTTAACAAAGAAAAATCAACCAAAAAAATGAGTTCGCGTGTCACCTCTGACACGCGTGTCATGGGTTCGCCATCACTGTGACCTAGTTCATATGTCAACACTCAATCTCTGAGCCATGCCGGCCAGGCCCCATTTTAAAAATCGTATCGTTTAATTGGATCCTGGTGTTGAGTTGTAATCATCTATTGGCCACTTCCTGCACACCCCCTCCTGGGGATGGAGCCAGCAACCTAGGCATGTGGCCCTGAACCCATGACCTCCTGATTCATAGGTCAACGCTCAGCCACCGAGCTACATCAGCCAGTCTCCCTTTTCAATTCGATGGTGGTTTCCTTGGCTGTGCAGAAACTTTTTGGTTTGATGTAGTCCCATTTCTATACTTTTTCTTTCTCTTCATTGGTTGATTCCTGCATGTACCCTGACTGGGGATGGAACCTGCAACTTTGGCGTATCAGGATGACACTGTAACCACTAAGCTACCTGGCTAGGGCTTCCCCCAGTTTTTTCCTGCAGGGATGTGGGAGAGACTTCACCTCCGAAGCCTGGGAGTTGGGCAAGGAGAAGATGAAGGGTTTCCGTTGACAGATGAGGACACGAAGGGCCAGATGAACAAGCCTGGTGAAGACTTCTGAGCAAGGGGCTCACCGGCCCCCCCCCTCGT